ATGAATGGGTAGATGGAAGAGTTTGAGGAGAAAATTACCAGTAATTTAATTTGAAATGTTTGCAAAAGAAAACTCTACAGCACAAAAGAGGCAGTTAAAGTATTAGAAGAACAAAATGATTTAAGTCTACAATCCTAGGCATACATCAGTTGGGTGTACTCATGAGTACACAGCATAGGATTGCACTGTGAGTGAACTTACGAGGGATACTACTGAGTAAATTACACATAGGATTACACTGTTACACATTTCCTCTGAGACACAATGCAAGCAACTTGTGGGTTGCATTCCAATTATTTTATTAACAGACAATGAATTACCTTTTTAAGGAAGTAATTTCAGCAGTTTTCCGTGGACAAGCTGCCAGCCCAGGGAGCTTCCATTGTGTCTGCTTAATTGGTTGCAAATAGAATGTTACTGCAAACAGCGAAATATACAAATACTCCGGAAACTTGTGTGTGGCGTTATTCAGGTAGCTGAAGTGACAATAAATAAGAACTGATCATTTTTAAGGAGAAGGAGATAGGACAAGGGATTAGAATGACCGTGTTATGAACTTGATAGAAATGTGCATTTAAGAGCTAAAATTAAGATTTTAAAATTAAAGCTGATGGACTGATGTCGTATAAGGCAGCTTCATATATTTTTAGCAGTGTTTTATTGTTGCTTTCTTATTTTTTAATGCATATTTAACTGATTTGTATGTTTTTGTTATTGGGTTTTTTAGTCTATATTGCCTGGGCACTAGATTGGAAGACTGCTAATAAATACAGTACATAAGTGAGTAGTTAATCATGCACAAACCACAGTTCCCCTTAGGAAGAGATATTACACTTTCTACCTAAATATGTCTTTTTTGGAGGATGAACCCAGTGCTGTTATCTTGCCACTCTTGATTTTTTCTTTCTATCCAACACCCAGGACAACCTTGCCTTCCACTATATCCAAGTCTCTTGCCTAATATTTCATGCTGAGAATGCAAAGCAGTGGATCAAATACAGTAGCACAAATAACACTTTATCTTTTACAGTTGCTGGCCATTCAGATTTCCTGTCTCCACAGTCACTTCCTCTTCATTACCCTTTGAAATGTTACGTCTTCTTAAAGTATGAAAAGAGATTGAACCCTAAGTGAAATCAAGGGTGGTTTTATGCTTTCTTTCATTCCTCTGTTCCCTACTGAAGGTTTTCTGGGGCAACACAAATAGTACTTTATATATGTCAGTGGAGTTTAACCAAGCTTGTGGGAAAAAATGGGGAAAGAATCCCAACTACTACAGCTTACCGGATAAGCAGAACTCAGTTCATTATTTGATGTATTTGGGAGAAAAGGTCACACTTGGTAGTTGGAACAGCGTTGGCGCCGGTATGTGCAATGACATTGATCTGCTTCTCTGAGTCGCACTCAGGTTGTCATGCAGGCCAACACAAGGCCATGTTTTCCATTTTATTCTCTGTAACTCGGGTTCTTTTATTCTCTGTAACTTGAGAATAAGGGCCCATGTTTTATGGTGTTGTAGGCACTGCATGTTCTGTCACAGCTTTGAATGAGGATGGTCATGTGATGGCTGGCAGCACACTGCGCTTTAGGGCACCAGTGACCCTTCCCTCTACTATTTGAATAGCTGTGCTATTACTCAGTACACATAGGGATCTGCATGCACCATGGGCCATGGCATAAACATTGCCACTGATGGAACAGGGGTTTGATGTCAGCATGAGCAGCAGCTGCAGTGCCAGAGCTGGTTGTGAGAATCACATGTCTGTTTGTGCTAGATCTAAGAGGAATAATACATTATTCCCATGTTTACCCCCTGCCTCTGAAATCTCATCTGTGTCAGGTATTATACTGTAAGCTTCTTGGGGCAGGGGCCTGCCTTCTTGTACTTTGTAAAGTGTTATGCACAGTGATGGTGCTTTTTAGATATATAACGATTGGGGGAGGGGGAGTTAGTCTTCACAAGCAAATTCTCCTAGACTTTCTAGGCATGGGTCTGAGTGTTTTGTTTTGTTTTCATTTGTCCTGCCGCTTTTCCTGGGAAAACCTGCTGTTTACTGCTGAATCAAAACGAACATCAATCTGCAGAAAAAAATCGATTGACGTTTGTTCCGATTCAGCAGTAAAGAGTCGTTTTTCCCAGGGGAAAGGGGTGGGGCAAGCAGAAGTGTGGACAAGCCCTCTGTAGACACATAGGCAACCTGGTCACAGTCTTTTCTGGTATGGTGAGATGTACTGTATTTCTGTTAAATTCTAGTAATCAGGTTATATCTAATGTTAGTCCTATTGAGGGCAGACCCGCTAAAAGTAGTGGGCATGATTTACATAGGTCCGTTGTCTGTGCGTCTACTAATCTGATCATTACTTAGTTGGAAACAATACATTATTTGTAAATTTGCATTGATGCATGCATATTAGCTTGTGCAAATTTTATGCAAATGCACACAAACTTTTTAGGGGGGATTAATTTCCTCTTTGGGGTGACTTTCAAGCTCACATGAAATAGCTTCATTTCAGTGTTGCAAAGCAAAAACACCCTAATAAACCTCATTATAGCAACTCATATTCCATGATGACAATTCACTTCATTGATGCCGGTGTGTTCACTGTTTACTTTTATTCAGTGTATAAAGTTCATCTTCTCCATCTGTCAGCATGATTGTGTGCGATCAATTAATAAACCTAAAAAAGTCTGCAGTGCACTTCTTTAATGAATGTTCTTTCATAGCACAGATAATGGGAAGGAAGAGGGCAGCCTTTCATGATTTCCGTAATGCCATATTTGCTCTTTTCTGATGCGCATTGCTTTATGAAAACAACAACAAACAAAAAAATCCAACCACCTTAAACCACAAAAAAGCTCTGAGCAATTTGTGTTGACTGTGCGTGTGCCTTCAGTAAACATTCCTATTCCCTTTCCTCCCTGCTGCCTGTGTGATTGTTCTTTGATCAAACTAAACAGGGCTTGAAAAGACAAAAGAGGCAGAAACAGAAGAAAGATGTCTTTAAAGAACTTATCGTGCAGCTACCTCCACTATGGGCAAAAGTGTTGTCCAATGAGTATGATAAAGAAGACTTGATTGTTTGGGGCTTTTTTCTTCCTTTGCAAATGCTTAAAAAAAGAGGGCGATTTGTGTGGACATTATCTAGCATTGTGTTTCTGAAAGACAAAGAGACCTGACTACGCAGAGTCCAAGTTTAATGTCATAAAAAACCATTGAGCTCACAACCGAGGGCATTTATGATCCCTGGATAGGCCCAACCAGTAATGGCATTGAAAGTTTCCTTGTTAGGGTAGGCATGCAAAGGGGGTTTTGGTAAAGGAAGAGGACATTTCGCAGGGAGGTTTAAAGGCACTGTTCAAGATTAAATATTATTTTCAAGTGCAAATTTGGCTTTGCCTCAAATGCATTTTAAGAGGCTTTGTTATGGTGACTATCTTATCCTGCATAATGATAATTGGCAGGGAGACTGTGAGTGACAGGTGTTGGGCTACTCCTCCTCTCACTAAATTCCACCCCCTTCTTGTGCATGCTTGTTCAGATTGATTGATTGATTGATTTAATATTTTTAAAAAGTGCCTTTTGTGATATAAGACCCCTAAGTGGTTTCCACCAAACAAGGAAGCCGTTGACAATAACACGTTTAAGATACAATTAATGCACCACCACCGTAAACAACAATAACAGCAACCATCAATACAACAATATAAATGGAGTCCGGGCCCCAAACATGCATGTAACATCCCAGTCAGATTCTCTGCATAATACCAGTAGCAATGAGATAGACCATTGGTCCATTTAGCTCTGTATTGTCACTACAATGACTGGCAAAGGCTCTCTGGGGTTTCAAACAGAAGTATTTCCCACAGCCCTACCTGGAGATGCTGGGGAATGAACTTGGGACCATCTGCATGGAAAGTATGTATTTTACACCAAGCTACGTTTGAGAAGGAGACTTGTCTGTTGCCTGGGGCTCCACATTTGCAACACAAACTCCTAGATTGGACTTTTTCAGCTTTGAGAAATGTAGTTATTCACGTAGCATGCACACTTTTTACTTAGATTTCTAAACTGGAATTGTTCATTAAGCTGATGATGAAACCAGCGGCTGGATCTCTGACGTTCTTCTTCCAAATCCCCATCAGGAGGCGGATTGCAACAGTCAAGGATCAACTAGTGTATGGGTGCACTGGGACTGTGTAGCCTTGGGGCTCTTCATTCATTTCCCTGACTTTTTCATCAGTCAAATCACATTAGATTCCAGGACACTGCTTGGTGTCAGTTACTTAGGTCAAAAGGCTGGCAAATACCTGTGGGTAGATGGGTAATTGGATGGAGGACATGCAGTTAGTCTGTCAGGCCACCAGGAATTTGGGTGGCAGATGGTTGTTCAGGTAGTCTGGCAGTGCAAAGGGGATGCCTGGCGACCAGTTCCCCAGACTGGGGGAGAGCTGCAGATTCAGGAGAGATGGCTAGAGGAAGAGTCTATCTATCATCTATCATCTATCTATCTATCATCTATCTATCAGCCCAGTATACCTGAAGGAGTGTCTCCATCCCCATCGTTCTGCCCGGACGCTGAGGTCCAGCGCCGAGGGCCTTCTGGCGGTTCCCTCATTGCGAGAAGCAAAGCTACAAGGAACCAGGCAGAGGGCCTTCTCGGTAGTGGTGCCCGCCCTGTGGAACGCCCTCCCATCAGATGTCAAAGAGATAAACAACTACCTGACATTCAGAAGACATCTTAAGGCAGCCCTGTTCAGGGAAGTTTTTAATGTATGACATATTAGTGTATTTTTGGTCTTTGTGGAAGCCGCCCAGAGTGGCTGGGGAAACCCAGCCATATGGGCGGGGTACAAATAATAAATTATTATTATTATTATTATTATTATTATTATTATTATTATTATTATCATTATCTATCTATCTATCTATCTATCTATCTATCTATCTATCATCTATCTAATCTCTATTCAAAGTGTGGCAGTTTCAATCTCTAGCATCCAGATATGGCTAGGAATGAATCTTTACTGAAACCCTGCAGAGATACTGTTAGTTAGGGCAGACCACACATTGCAAAAGTGCCAAGTTCTCTACTATTTTTAGAATGACTTCAGAGGTGGTCCTAACATTAAATCATGCCAAAATTGTTGTTGTTGTTGTTACCCATGGGGGGGGTGATTGCGTTATTATGCATGTATTATACCTGAAGTCTTGAACTGCCTTGGGCTAGCGTTCGCCTGAGTGAATATTGCTGAAACCTCATTGCAATGTGGTTTTTTTCCATCAATCCTATTTTGTTTTCTGCTGTTTTCTTTTTTGAAAGTTTGTTTTGCTGTCTAATAAAAGCCAGTCCCTGCTTTGACTTGAGCTTATTATTTATTACTACCCTCCACCTTTCCTTTGCAAGGGAGGTGGCAATCTGTTCTCTTTTTCTTCCCCCCCTTTAAAAAAACCTTTCATAATCTTTGCTCTCTCCATCCCCAGATTTCAGAAATCGGTGACTATTATGTAACAGATGGTCTGACAGACCTCCGACTCTTTGACGTGATGGCTTGCTTGGCGTAGAACATAGCGGCAGTGGAGTAAGTATTCAGAAAGATAGACGCTCATGAATTTTAACTCTCTCATGACAAAGGAATTCAAGGGGGCAAGGGCTGATCTATCAGTTGCCGAAGTAATTAAAAGACTTAGATGGCTCTCTAGGACAGAGTATCCCTTCACTGTTACAGGCTGTTTATACTGGATTAGCCTTGTCCATGCCCCATTCATCTATATATGAATAACTAGAACAAAACAATGGGCCAGCCTTAATCCAGAAATTGATACATTCCAACAAGCACCAGCCAGGGCTGTTCTTTTAGTTTTTAATGAAATGTACAGTGTGCCATCAAGATGGGGCATGCCACAGCAAAATGAGTAGCCATTTTGATTGCTGCTTTTGATACTCTGGCTTAATTGCCATAGTTTCAGTGGTGTAAAATCCACTTTTTCTAATACTAATTGGGATGCTGAGGTTTTGCCCTTTCAGCTTTAGCAGTTTGAGAGACACAACAGCGGCAAAAGTTGGACCACTTTCTGGTGGTGAAAATGTAAAGAATGAAAACTTTGCAAATGCACGATTCACACCAGGCTCTTTCTTCTGCTTACCCTGGATAGTCATTCTGTCACTTGTAAGGGGTAGTAATATGCTTGTCTCCAGGGTTGTGGGCAAGGCAAATGCACCTTGTCAAGGGTGAGGAACCTCAGGTCTGCAGGGTCAAAAGCTGCTCTCCAAATGTCTTTATCTAGCACCCTTCGCCAACACTGCTATGCGCTGTCTTTGAGTGCTTTTTCCTGGCTGAAATGTTCTTGTAAACTGTTGCAATGCATGTTGCTTGCCTGAGTGGAGGATGAAGATAGATGGTTGGGTGAGGGTATAAATACAGCTGATGGTTGTGTGGCTTGAATGCACCTGACTGTACGAAGGTAAGAATCACATGCATTTAACTTCTGCCTGGCCCTGCATGTGGCCTCCGGGGGCTTGCCCACAAGGGAATTTGACCCTCTGCCTGACAAAGGTTCCCAGCCCCAGGTATAGGTGGCTTCCTACACACCAAAGCTTAAAGGGTCTCAGGTACCAGGGTTTGGAAGGACCTGTGCTTGAGAACGTGAAGGGCTAATGCCAGTCAGGATAGACTGGACAGGTCACTTTTTTGACTAAACAACTTGGTATAAAGTGAAGTGATCCCACTCCACTTCTTGTCTAAGGAAGGGCATTAGTTGCCCAAGGTCCCTTGATGCCTACCTGAAACAGCAGAGAAGGCACACGGAGACTCCATAATGGTTTAGAAGTGCAAGGCTTTAATGGGTAGCCATCTCCAAGACAATGGGTAGTCATCAGGGCTGCACCAGAATACAAGTACTGAGTTGTCCGCCTTTCTTACTGGAGCAATGCCAGTGTCACGCTGAATCTGTCCTTGAGCCTGCAAAACCTTACTCTGATTCTGCTACCAATTACCCTGCCATGCGCTTCCTGTTCAGGGCTCACCCTCTGAACCCCACCTAGGCTCAAGAAAACTATTTTACAGGGGCATTCTGATATCTAGGGCAAATGGTGCACAGCACTGTATAAATGAAAAGTAAAAGTAGACTGTAAGCAGAATTCCAGCAAGGCTCCGCTGGATTCTTCTTAATCATCCTCTGTAAGGTGGATAGGAAGTTCTTTGTAAATTGGCACGTTTCACTGTCAGTTTTGTTTCATCAGAGATGGTTCTCAAATGTTCTCTTTTCATTTTCTGTTATTCGAATATCTGTGATTTGTGGAAAAGAAAACTATACTTTTCTCCTTTTTGTGTCTGCTACTAGTACCTTTGTAGCTGAATAACAGAGAGCTCCTTAAGTTTCAGCTCAAACAGAGTATGTGCAGTCATACCCAACACAGTGATGCTGTGATGGTATTTTGGTTCAGCTGTTGGTTTTTATTCCTTCGGAGTAAGAGAAGAGGAAATAAAATAATAATGATTTTAGACTAAATTTTCAATGATTTAAAAGACACACAAGTCCCAAACTTATTTACCCTCTGCACAGTAAGTTGGGAATTCTGGGTTGTATTCAACAAGGGCATAGTGCTTCTAGAAGGCCTTCACTCCTGCAGTGGGACTATTCCTCCCCTGTTCCCCCAGTGCTTCCCAAATCTGCTCTGGATTCCACCCCCCCCCCCCAGGTCTGGAGCAGTTCTGGGGGAGTGTAAGGGTACATTGTGTGGGCACTAGAAGTTCTGTTTTGCAAGCAGCAGTCATTCCATCAGTGTGATTCCTTTGTTGGGCAGAATGTTAAACAGAGGGGGCACCAAATAAATTCACTTAGTAACAACAGGGTAAGAAGCAATTAAGAGTCAGGATTCCAGACATAGCCAGAATTAACAGCATTTCAGTCAAGATGCCAAAAGAAACAGGGCAGAATAATGTGCCTGTTTCTTTCCAGAAGGCATAGGAAGAACCAATATGGTTTCTGCCATTCTTAAGATATCCAGTTCTCATAGAACTATAGGCAGCTGCCTTATACTGAGTCAGACCACTGGTCCATCTAGCTTAATAATGCCTACACTGTTTGGCAGCAGCTCTCTGGGGTTTCAGACAGGGAACAATTCTCAGTCCCACCAGGAAATGCCAGGGGTTGAACTTGGAACCTTCTGCATGCAAAGCAGATGTCCTGCCACTGAGCTACGACCCAGTTCAAGGGACAGCCTTACCACTTGGCAGAATGAGGTGGATGCCACAGGCAGCCAATGCTGAAGCAGGGGCATGGGAGTAGTGGCAAAATGTTGGGGACAGAGCTGTGTATGCTACTTGGCCTGCCCTGCATCTGTAAGTGCAGTGAAGGATACTGTCCCTGTATTGAAGTAAGACTCAAAACTGCCAGTCAAGTCAGTTTCTGTCCACAGGGGTAGAGGAACAGCATCTTGTCCTTCTCAGGCAGCAGAATGTCTTAGGCCGGCTCTTTCAGGTTCTAAACTGGATCAAGCTACTCTTGCCAACTGCTTGTTATTATTATTTTTTTTAACTTTAGGACCAACACAGAAAGGAATAATCCAAGTAGGTTTTTTTTTTTTAATCATCACCATCATCATGAAGGCAAACAGAGTTTGTTCATGGGCTGCCCTATGATTCAGATGTTCCAGCCTGTGGATAAACAAAGCTGCAAAATAAAGGTCATTTTAATCAGGCATCACATGTGAAAATTACCTGAGGGCAAATAAATGCAAGTATCAGATTCTTATCAGATCCCTGGGATAATAATAGCCGGGTCACTGGGGAGAGTCTGTTAGTGTTGGCCCACTGGGTCATATAACAATGCAAACGCTCCCTTTGGCTTCCCACTGCTGTGACCCGTCCATCTGCTTCTCTCTGGCCATATGTCAGAGAACTATCAAAGACTACAAACATCTGAGTTTTATGCATCTGAATGTTCTTCAGTTTTCATTGAAGCTTCATAGAAATGCTGCTGCTCTGAAATTCTTCTTTCATAAAAGGGCTTTTTGTACTTTTAAGTTGAGTGTTAACATTCTAGTATTGATATTATTAGGAGTTGTATTTGCATAGTGCTGCTGTAACGGCTTGTAGCTGAGCCCAGGAAAGTTCGCCCAATGCACCATTATCACTTTATTGTGATAATTTTTAAGTCACATCTTGGGGAGAGAAAACAGATGGAAGTATGTGTGTGTGTGTGTTTAATAGCAGCACTAATATGAAGCTCATAATAAAAAACTAAATGGTTTCAGTATCAAATATGTCATAAAAGATTAAAATGTTTTCCAACGAAACAGAAAATGTGTGACTAAAAAAATTAAAAATACCTCAGGACTCTAGTCTAGAGCTAAAATTTAAAGCAAGCCATTCTCTGGAGTATATTGTAAACAGGCGGTTTTACAAGTTGTAACGGAGCCACACGAAAGTAGTAGATGGAAAGACAATCCGCTAAATATATTTCAGCTAAACGTATTTCAACTTCAGTCTTCATCGTTGGGTTATAAATGCAGTGTGTAGTTACATTGTATTTAAGATAACTCTGTTAAAGTTCAAATTCAGGTTTGCACGCATTCACACAAGTACCCTGAATAGGTTTCTTTAAAGGCAAATCTAAAGCTTCATGTAGGAGTTATTTTGCTCATTCGGTTCATTGTGCGCTCGATGTTATAAGTCCCATGTACTTTTATGCAAGCATCTAGAGCAGGGGTGAGGAATTTACCCCCCTCCTGATATTTCTTGGACTACAAATCCCATCATCCCTCACCACTGGCCTTGCTGGCTGGCAGTGGCGTAGCGTGGGGGGTGCAGGGGGGGCCGGCCGCACCGGGCGCAACATCTGGGGGTTAGGGTTAGGGGGCGCAAATCCACGGGTTAGGGGGTGCAAATTACTTGCCTTGCCCTGGGTGCTGACAACCCACGCTACGCCACTGCTGGCTGGGGTTGATGGGAGCTGGAGTCCAACAATATCAGGAGGTACACAAGCTTAAATGGACTAGAGACCCTTCAATTTTATCCCTTCCTCTAACTGTGAGTTAAAATGTTAACCTCACTGAAGTGGTATGTAATACAGTGCCAACTTCTTCAGTTAAGAGAATGTGTGTGTACAAGTTTTGGTCCCAAATAAATGCAGCTTTCCAAACCTTTGAAACTCACCTGTGCTGTTCCTCCCGGTAGAAGGATTCTGCTGCCTTTCTTTCCAGCTTCTTTTATCTGACTGAGTGCTCTCTGGGTACCCAGTCAGTCAGGATACGTTAGAAGAGCTCTAGAATCTTTCCTCGTGAATCCACTCTCTTTTTAACTAGTACAAGCATCCTTTCATATTTAAATCTCTAAGCCTATTTACAGTTTCCGATAGTCTTAATGTGAGTTCAGCCCACCAAGGGGAAATCTGGACAGCAGTAAATACATGAGGGTTCAGCTGAATTACCTTTCAGAGGGAAAAAGCCATTATTATGGTACACTGCAATCTAATTTATCCGAATGCACTAAATTGGAGCAGGGGAAGAGAGGGGAGCAGAAAATCAGATATTCAGATGTGTGTTACAGTGAAAACAAGCTTATATAGTGGTGGGAGATGCAAAACAGATTCAGGTACTTTTGCTGGAGCTGAAACAAAATGTTGCACATCTTTGAGATTCAGCAAAACTTCAGAATTCAGTTTCAGCTTTTTGAATTTCAAGCACAACCTCATTTCAAATCCCACAGTACCCATTTCATTCTGGGACCCTTAGAAGCAAATGTTCCCGGTGTCTGTGTTCCCCAGGTCCCCTTCCCTTCTGCACCCCAAAGCCACTGTTCTCATGATTTCTGTCCCCCACCCTGCTGAAGGGTAAAAGTTAAAAAGTGCAAATCCTGGCTCTGCTGTAGGCACCACTTCACTCTCTAATACATTCATTGGAACCCACAGTATTATTAGGGCCAGGGGAGGGTGAAGGGGTGAAGCATATGCTGCCCAGATGACAAGACCCCACTCTTGGCTTCACTGATGTGGTCCAAAGGAAAGCAGAGCAATACAGTTGGCACCAGCTTGACTGCAGGAGTTGCTGGAAGGAGGTGTACAAGGCGCCATCCAACTACCTTAAAGACTTCACTCCAGATTTGTGTAGGGTTTACTTCTTAGTCTCTTCTTCTCGCAAAGACATCCCACAAGGCAGTGGAGGTTTAGGGCCGATTTTTCCTTCTCCTAGATAGGCTACTTTCCCAGGTTGACAAGCCCCATCTGCCCCTCACTGCACTATACAGTGCAGTGGTACCTCGGGTTAAGTACTTAATTCGTTCCGGAGGTCCGTTCTTAACCTGAAACTGTTCTTAACCTGAAGCACCACTTTAGCTAATGGGGCCTCGATTTCTGTTCTCATCCTGAAGCAAAGTTCCTAACGTGAAGCACTATTTCTGGGTTAGCAGAGTCTGTAAGCTGAAGCGTATGTAACCTGAAGCGTATGTAACCTGAGGTACCACTGTATGTGCAGAAACCTCCTTCTTGACCGTTGGACCCACAATCTGCTGGACCCTGTCTTTGCATGCAGGGGAAGTCCCTAACTCACTTTGTGTGTGTGTGTATCCCGAAGATGGTTCAGTTTGTATGAAATACAGCTGGGTGCTGTGGATTTTATTCAGGCACTGTAATATTTACTCTTGACTCCCTGAATGGCTTAGGACTGTTGGTTTACCCAGCACACTTTGCCCTGGGATTGCCACTGGTGCTCACTGGTGGCAGTTCTCCAAGTTCTCTGGCAAATATATATCTCAACTTGGTTATCTAAGGTTATCTTGAACTAGAGAGAGCAAGAATTGATCATGGGATGTAAAGCAGGAATGGGGAGCTGGAGACGCTGCAGATATTGTTGGACTACAGCTCCCTTCATTCATGAATGTTGGCCATGCTGGCTGGGGCTGATGGGAGATGGAATCCAACAACACACAGAGAGTCACAGGTTCCTCATCCCTGATGTAAAGCATATGATCTACCACTGAGTTGTATTTTCTGCCCTTGAGTTGACTGGATTGTTATTGAAGGTCTGTTCTTGGTTGTGATTAACCCAATCAGATGGGTGGGGTACAAATAATAATAAATTGTTGTTGTTGTTGTAGTTGACTACACAAAGGGTGGAAAGTGGAGTCCATGGTAAAAATCAGAGATATTTGTTATTGCTGGCATGAATAGATTCCATTTTCAACATCAGCAATTTTGGGATGTTTGCCTTCTACATCCTTATGAAGTTTTAAAGCAGCTGTTCACACATCTCTACAGATTTTCTGAGGATGGGTGGCAACAGCTATTCTTTGGGACTGATTAGTTCATTTAGTTCTCTCTCTCCCTATACTAGCTCATTAAAAAAAATCATCAGGATCAGTAGTGTGTTCTTTCTGATACAGTTACTCTCTGATACAGAATGGCTGTGAAATCTGTAAGGCCTGGGGAGACGAAATCACTGTTGCTGCTCTTCAGTGATCTCTGTACTACCACCACTCCAGACTATGTGAATGTATCTGCCTGCCTGTCTTTGTGTGCACATGTGTAAACTGATCTCTCCAACAGAAGGTTTTGACCTTACAGCCCTCGGAGGGTTGGCCAACAGCAAATGTGGTCCTCAGGCCCAAAAAAGTTAACCATCCCTTTTGTATATGGTTTTGTTTTGTTTGTTTATCATTCATCTTACCAAATTTCAGTGCAGTCTTATACATATCTTTTCTGACATAAGTCCAATTGAGCTCAATAGGACATACTCCCTGGTAAAAAAGGAGTATAAGATTTCAGCTTTTTCTATTGTTCAGTCAGCCACATTTCTGGCTCCAAGAACATACCACTGACAGCTGCATAATTCAGATTAATTCTTTTTATGAAGTTGTGTAATCTCATTTTACAATCAAGAGGTTGCACTTTCCCTATTTCCTATGACTAATGTGTTCTACTTTAGAATTTTGGTTTTACTTATTGGATCCAACCTTTCTTTGAAGGAACTCAGGGCAGCATACATAGGATTATCCTGTTTTTCCCTCACTCTACAAGGAGCCTGTGAGGTGGGTTCAGCTGAGGGTGGCTGGTTGTAGTTCAGTAAGTGAATTTCATAGCTAAGGAACAGAGCTGGCAGCTTCAAATTTAAACTGTCTCCTGCTTATACAGTGCTTGAACTGTATTCATTTTTAAAAAGAATTTGTTCTAATTCAAGTTCACCTTGTTCAAAAAGGAACTAGCTCAGTTCGTGTTCATCCTAATGAAGCTTGTATTTCATAGAAAGTTCATCCTTGACAAAAATAAATAAAGTAAAATAAAATAAACCAGTATGCTCTTCATTATTTCATTCATTCAATTTATATTCCACCCTTTATTTCAAAGGAGTCATGGATGGCAAAAACACACTAAAACAATATAATTAAAAACAGGTTTTTAAAAACTGTAATAAACTGCTGTGCTGAAGTATAGGGTACAAAAGTAAATCAGGGGCCACCACCAAGTGGTAAAATGCCTGCCAGACAGAATGTGAACAGATGATGTTTTCCCCTGGTGGCAAGGAGAGACAGATAGAAGACACCATTTTAAATTTCCCATGCCCCTCTGCTGTTGTGTCATTGTGGGAATTTTAAATAGCAGTTCCTCAACACACCTGTGTGAGGCCAGTGGGACCTCAGAAGCTGACCAAAGCATGGGGTGCTGATCTCAGAACTGGTTTGAACCCAGGCCAACCAACATTCTATCCACTGAAGGTGCAGGTGGCAGGTTTAAAGCAGGACCGCACAGTTACAAAATGGAGGAAGAATGACAGGCTTAAACCTATGAAGCTCACTTCTCTGGGTTTCATATGTAACTTCATGTTACAAAATCAGCAGTTACATTATACATCCACTTGTTGCATACTATTGTGCTTTCTGAAATGCATGTACCTAGAGATAAGGTCAGTCGTTAGCAGTGGGTGCGTGGGTGGGGTCACATGGTCCAAAAATTTGAATCCTTCTCACCCTTTAAAGCATCTACATGTACAGAAGTGAGAGCTGGACCATAAAGAAGGCTGATCACTGAAGAATTGATGCTTCTGAATTATGGTGCTGGAGGAGACTCTTGAGACTCCCATGGACTGCAAGAAGATCAAACGCATCCATTCTTAAGGAAATCAGCCCTGAGTGGTCACTGGAAAGACAGATCGTGAAGCTGAGGCTCCAATATTTTGGCCACCTCTTGAGAAGAGAAGACTCCCTGGAAAAGACCCTGATGTTGGTAAAGATTGAGGGCACAAGGAGAAGGGGATGACAGAGGACGAGATGGTTGGACAGTGTTCTCGAAGATACAAACATGACTCTGACCAAACTGCGG